ACTTTCAGAATAAGAAAAATGATGGAAATATAGGAGAATGGGGTCTTTTTTTGAATTAGATACTCTAGCAGGGCCTATAAATTAATCATATTCACAAAGAAATTATATGCAAAAGATTGAAATTCCATCCTTAATCTATATTCACAATGTCAACAATAATATATTCATCTATTTTGAATAAAACCAAATATGCATCCTGATTTTCTCTTGTCTCTTACAACTCCTATTAACTCTTCACAAGAGTAGAAAGCATCATCTTTCCCCCATGTAGCAGCCGGTGGTTTTGAACTGCTGACCTTACTCTTAGCAACCCAATGTGTGTAACCCATTACACCACCAGGGCTCCTTGCTCTTCAATGTATGTAAAACGGCTATAGCTTTGAGATGATTGAACAAACCCCTACTTAATAAGTTCTTCGTCACAATCACCTTCACTTGCTGCTTGTGCAGCTTTCAAATCATTGAAAATACTTCCAAACTTTTTTTGGGGGGGGGGAGGGGCGGGCGGGGAATTGGAGCCTTTTCAGGAGTAAGGCCGGGCTTTCTATTCCCATAAAGATGTACAGTCTCAGAAACTCATGGCCCAGTTCTACCCAGTTCTACACGACCACTATGGGTCAGCAATGACTCCGTGGCAGGGAGTTTGGTTTTTCTTGTGCTCAAAGTAAAGCTAAAAAAGGGGGATCTTATGCACCTGTTTCAACTTACCAACACATTCTTAAAGACCCGGTCAGGAACAGATCTTGTTCCTAACCCAGGGACTGCCTTTGAAATTAACTACAATATTAATAGTTTCCAACTGTTTTGCAAGAGTCGGAAGCAATAATGTGAATTTCACTCAATAAGGCGATAGTTTACTTTTTTTTCCAAGGAAATATTTTCAATAGGATTACTAACCCCTTTAACACTTTTGGAAGGAAAATGAATCCCATAAGCATTCTGGCGTATAACTCTTATAAAAAATAAAATAGAACAGTCAATCAGTGAAAATGGTTATGGACTACCTAGTGGAATGTACAAACCATATGCATGCAGACAACCACTTCAAGAGGAAAGAGCCCACTCCGTATCAACCAAGCAAGGGAGCGCACTGAGACAAAGGCCAGGCCCGAGGGGGTGGGACCTTTGCTGAAGCCTTTTTCATGCCATTCTCAAAAGGCATTAGCCACACCCTTGAATTAGCCTTGAATGATTCTGCTGGTCATCACTCCAAGCCGGCCTATCCCTAGGCCCTGTTTGGTTTTTCAGAAAGTATTTAAAGTTTTAGGGGGGAAAGGGATTCTTACTGATTGAAGACACATTTGTTGCATTCATAACTCAGTGTTTGAAGAGGAATGTTTTCAGGTCATTAGTTTATAATGTGAACTAGGGTCTGGGGATGTTTTGAAAGGGCAAAAAAAAAAAACCCACTAAAAGTACTTGGTGATGTTGTTTATGTGACTTGCTCAATTATGTATTTCAACTCAATTTGGGACTCCACACTCAAAATCAAGTCACCACAACTACAGCAGCCGCGTTCTTTACATGCAATGAACAAACAACAGCAGCCATCCAAAGGAAATGCCTTGTAACCCCATTAGCATTCCCATGAGGTATTTAGAAGTACAAAATGAAGTCCACCTTACGAATAATTTTTTAAACAATTGGGATCATCAAAAACCTGTGGCATATCAAAATGGCATTACCAGTGTTAGCCTTGCTTATTATACCCCTCCCCTTCTCCTTGCCATCGGTACTGCCATGTTTGGGTCCCCCAAAAAGAAGCTAAGTCATTAGACTCAAAGAAAGCACCTCCCTGCATCTGTGTTCATAAACCAAAATGTGATTTGGCCGTTATCATGGCTAATTTGATCAATATATCATGGCAACACAGATCCTAGAAGTTAACTAGACGTTTTCTAAATTCTCCACTTCCCTTAAGTGTAAGCAAAACCACATGTTTAAGTAGTTTCTGCTCAATTGAAATGAACCTACTGTGTTTATGTGATTAGGTCTTAACACTTTTATCATTCTTAAACACCTAAGGTCAGTTTCCCACGTAATTTTACCAGTTTTCAGGTATTTTGTGCTACTATATAATAATAGGTTTCTATGATTACCAGACCAAAAATTTTGTGAGATCAAGGCAAAACACATACTGAAACACAAACATAGATTTGCTCTTTAAGGCAATCATCAACTCTGGCCAAGAGTTGCTTTTGTATTCCACAGAACCTCCATGGAATATAATAATGATGATGTTAAAGAACAATAATATCTAAGATGCATTAAGTTCTTATTGTGCTAACCACGGTGTTGTTTGTATAGATTATCTCAACTAACCCTCATCAACTTTTGGAAGTACTATTATTATCCCCCACTTTACCTAAGGGCACAAAAAGCTGAAATAAGCCCTACAAGGTCAAGCAGCCAGTGAATAGCAATGATAAGATCCAGAGATGTTCAGGGCAATCACCATGCTGTGTTTCTTTAAAGTTCAAAATGTGCTTTTAACAACCTTTATTCCTTTCACATAGTTTTCTCTACAAAAAAAACTAAAAAGATTAAACTAAATGATTTTTCAGGCCCCTTCTAGTTCTTACAGTCAATGGCTCCCACCCCATGGTACATATGCTAGTTAGGTTTATGGTGCTCGCTATGATTCCATAGGGACGTGTGCGTGGAGTTTAATCAGGTCACAGCTTGATTGGAGGGCAATGAGATAAATGGCTTTCCAAGGCCAGCCCCCTTACCTTTTTCTCCCTGCTGATCAGACCATGGTTCTGCTGCCTGAGCTAGCCCTTTGCCTCAACTGTATGCTGCACTAGTGTGGGCTGAGCCAACCTCTGGATCCTGTTGCCTTACTGTGAGTGCATCACTAGAGCTAAAGCTCCATCAAGACCTGCTTGCCAAGCTTCTTCTTCTTTTTTTTAATCATTTTATTAGGGGCTCATACAACTCTTATCACATATATACAACAATTGTGTAAAGCACATTTGTACATTCATTGCCCTCATCATTCTCAAAACATTTGCTCTCCACTTAAACCCCCGGCATTAGGTCCTCATTTTTCTCCTCCCTCCCCGCTCCCCCGTCCCTCATGAGCCCTTGATAATTTATAAATTTTTATTTTGTCATATCTTGCCC